CAAACTATCATGCAGATTGTTTTGGTATCTATGTAATTGCAAAAGACTGCTTTGGTCGAAGCTCCCGAACACTTTTTATTGCTAATTTTGGCAATAAACCTGTTAATTAGTTAATTGTAAAACATTAGTGAATCAAGCAAAAAGAATCCATCTGTTTATAAATTTCAAAGATCTCTTCTGGGCATAACGTTTAAAAAGAAGAGCTGGCTTGCACTGTATTGCCTACCAACTACAGACCCTGTCTTTGAAATATTTGTATAGTCTCCTCTTAGGGCTAAGAGGGGCTATTTTAATGGAACCAATTGCTGTATTGGAAGGTAATTCTGTAGGTACATGGTACTGCATACCATTTTCTTCAGGAACCGTTGAAAACTGGAAAATCCAGTGAGATATATATGACTTTTTCCTCTATATCCCAAGCTGAACGTAGAAATAATTAGCCAGACAGGAAAAAAAGCAGAAGGGCATTTCACACAGAGACGCACAGTTATAAAAGCCGGGCTGTGGGGAGGACTGCAAAAATCCCTAAACAAAGAAAATCTTTTGTGCATTCTATGAGAAGGACCAGAGAGAAGGCTAGTGAGAAATGCAGGGACCAGACTATAAAAATATTTCCTATTGTTCAGGGCTCTGGTTTGCCCATGAAGTCTTCACTTAAATATTCATCAAAGTTGATGAAGTATGATGTGATGAAGTACACAGAGCCAAACTAACGAAGTCATTTATGGAGATGGTCAGTGCAGGTGTATAATGGAAGTTTAAACTAACCCTGTGAGTTGTTCTTAGTCACCCAGTTGGGTCCAACTCTATGCGACCCCATGAACTGTAGCCCACCAGGCTCCTCTGTCCTTGGGGATTCTCCGGGCAAGAATACTGGAGTGGGTTGCCAGGCCCTCCTCCAGGGGATCTTCCCAACCCAGGGATCGAACCCAGGTCTCCCACACTGCAGGAGGATTCTTTACTGTTAAAAGGGCTTCCCAGGTGGCTCAGTGGTAAAGAATCCGCCAGCCAAATGCAGGAGACACAGGAGACCTGGGTTCGATCCCTGGGTAGGGAAGATGCCCTGGAGTAGGAAATGGCAACTCACTCCAGTATTCTTGCCTGGAAAATGCCAGACACAGAGAAGCCTGAGGAGGTACGGTTCATGGGGTCTCAACTGAGGACATAGGCGCAGGAACTTCCAGCTCTTCTCAACATCAGCAGAGGATGTCAGCCACTCCCCACATGCCAGGTATGGCCATGGCATCTCAGGGGACTTCCCTGTTCCCCTGACTCAGAGTCTTTGATCCGACAGGGAAGAAGACCCCTAGGCAGCCAATAAACTGAAAAAAAAAAAATGACTTCTGCATTCACCCCATAAAAATCCCCCAGTCTGCAAGCAACTTGGAAGACATTGCTCCCTTCATCTTAAGTTTTCTGACTTGCTGATGGAAAGGTTTGCAACAAACTCATCATTCTGCTTTGTTTTAGTCAGCGTGCAGAGTGGAGAAAGAGCACTGAGTTGGGAGCCACAAAACTTGGCCTCCCGTCTAGTCTCGAGAATTATGTGGCCTTTAATAGCGCAAGTAATTTCCTTTAGCTTCCTCAACTATATTTCCTCCCAGCTTCCTCAACTATAAAAACAGAGTTGGATCAGGTATAATTTTAGATTACTTCCAGTTAAAACATTATGGAATTTGATTTCCCAGGCTAATTTGAGGGGCATCCATTTGCTTCCAGCCCAGCAACAGAGGCCAATGCTGTTATAACTGACAGCTGGAGAGATAGGCAAAGAATAAGTTTCCCTAAATGCTCCTGATCTTCCTTTTTTCATTTCTTGGTAAATAAATGAAAAAATTTTATTTTCCAGAGCAAATTCTGAGTTGCAAATGCCATTTTTTTTTTCTTCATGGGGAAGTAAAAAAATTAGCATTTAAAATATGCCAGCATGTAACATTCCGTTTGTTTCCCTAATGTCTGATTTAAGGATAAAGATCTTTTTTCAACACTGAAAGCAAAACCTCCTAATTTATCTGGCTTAGAGGATCATTTACATATCCAATGGAACATTTATTTTATCTGACCAGAATTGAAGATGATACAATATTCTTGGCTGAGATTAAAAATATATAAGGGTGGAATATTGATGGCAATGCGCAGGATAGAGAAGAACAGCCCACATGATGCACTGTGGATGATAAGAATGAAATGGTTCCTAGCTAAAGTGGAATGATAACCTCAAAAGATACAGATTAATGACAGTAGTTTCTAAGGTTGAAATGGGAGAGGCAAGGATAAAGAGGAATAAATTTAAGCATATCGACAAAGGACAGAGAAATTTAAAGGATAATGTTAATTAAATTATGTGTTGTAACCAGATAATACTCTATTATACAAAGATGAAAGCCACAGTCATATCAAAGCATCTAGGAGAAAAGACGTCAACTGAATCTACAAGAGTTATTTTTAAAGTGGCAGTTTCTAATATGAATCCAAATTTCTGGAGTCCAAGTTTCCTTTAAGCATCTTAATTTATAATGGTGATAAATATAGTTTGATTGCTCAGGAACATATATGGCAGATGTGTGGCAACATCAGGATAACTGAATGCACTGTTACTTTTCGACCAGAATTCATTGATTTATTTTGTATACATTTATTGAGTTTTTCTATGTCCATAATTCCAGATGGCTCAAAAGGCACTGTTTTATTCAATCTTCATCCATTCAACAAACCTTTCCGAAGCAGCTTCTGTGTGAAAAGCACTGTGCTAAAAAGTTCAGAGCTTAGAAGAAATTAATGTTTTTTGAGTATAAGCGCTATGCTCTTTTTACCTTTCCAAGCCTAACAAGAGGACCAGGCCTGATATAAGTAGTTGATAAATGTTAAAATGACCTAAACCTTTTAGGAAGTCAGCTATACATAAAACTATAAGCTAAAAAAAAAATAATATCTTAACAATGTATATAATCATGAATTTAAAAAGTTGGAGGAAGATATGAAAGCAACCTAAGTGAGCATCAACAGGTGAATGGATAAAGAAGACGTGGTACATAGATAGACAGACATCAATACAGATACACACACACACACACACACACACACACAATGGAATACTACTAAACTATAAGAAGAAAGAAACTTTGTCATTTGCAGCAACATGGACGGACTTGGAAAACATTATGCTAAGTGAAATAAGTCAAATAAGTAAGACAGAAATAAGACAGATAAAGACTTATACTGTATAATATCACTTACATGCAAAGTCTAAGACATACAAAATGAGCAAATATAGTGAATATAATAAAACTGGTGAATATAACTAATGAATATAATAGAAAAGAAGCAGATTCACAGATATAGAATGAAGTAGTGGTTAGCAGTAGGGAGAAGGGAGAGAGGAGGAGTAATGTGGGGTTAGGGGATTAAGAGGTATAAAATTATTAGGTATAAAATAATAACTATTAGGTATAAAATAAGCTATAAGACTATACTATACAATGTTTCTTTATAATAGCCAATATTTTATAATAACTATAAATGTAATAAAACCTGTAAAAATTGTGAATCACTATATAGTATACCTGTAATATATAGAGGTATATACAGGTGTATAATATATACAGGTATATTGTAATATATACAATATTGTACATCAACTATACTTCAATAAAAATAAAGATAAATGAAAATAAAAAAAATAAAATTGAAAAGTTGGAAGAGATAGTATAAGTCATTTAATCTTATGTTTCCTAGGTTTGTTCTATGGAATAAAAGTAACAAATATTATTAAAACTAAAGGGGATAGGAGATTCTTGGGTCAAATAATTTCAAAGGAAACAGAAAAAAAACAAGTCTCTTTACTTCCCAGAGTCTCTGATGTGCTAAAATTTTGTATTTCTCTCAAAATTGCAAAGAACACATATCATTGCCAACTTTATCCATTCAGGGACTCTTTTATTGTTAAACTAATGTTCTGACTTTGGTAAGGGCTGAACTGATCCATTTTCCTTGCTTTCCCTCCCAATCCCAACCTCTCTTAACCCAGTGAAACACAACTGTTTAACTCTGTCTAAAGAATTCAGTGAGTAAGTGATTCATCCAATTTTTTGAGCAAACCCGTTCTATCATAGTTGAGTTCGGTTCAGTTCAGTCACTCAGTCACGTCCGACTCTCTGCGACCCCGTGGACTGCACATGCCAGACTTTCCTGTCCACCTATCATTGGATAGCTTTAATCATTAGAAATCTTGAGTTTTGAGCCAAAATCTACCTCAAAGTCTACTAGAGTACATCCTAGCAAACAATAGTCAGAATAATCTGCCCCATGGTCTACTTTTGTATGACCCTCAAGCTAAGAAAAATTTTATATTTTTAAATAGCAAAAAGAAGATGAATATACAGGGCTGATTATATTTGGCTGATGCCACCTAAACTATTTGCAATCTGAATTTTTACAAGAGTCTACAGACCTGTATTCTAAATAAAAGTCTCCAGCATTTTTGATCATGGGCTCTGTGGTAAGTAGTCTCTAAGGCAGTTCCGCCAAATCTCTACCACCTGGTATTTAAATCCTTGTATAGCAACCCACTCCAGTGTTCTTGCCTGGGAAACCCCATGGAGAGAGGAACCTGGCGGGCTACAGTCCATGGGGTTGCAAAGAGTCAGATACAACTGAAGTAAAGCAAGCAAATAACCTGCTCCTGTTGAGTGGCTAGATCCAGCAACTCATTTCTGTTTGACTTGATTCTATCCTATTCTATTCTACTGAACAGGGGTAAAGAACCTACCTGCCAGTGCAGGAGAAACAGGAGACATGGGTTTGATCCCTGGGTTGGTAAGATCCCCTGCAGGAGGGCATGGCAACCCACTCCAGTTTTCCTGCCTGGAGAATCCCATGAACAGAGGAGCCTGGCAGGTTACAGTCGAAAGAGTCACAAAGAGTCAGACGTGACTGAGTAGTAGACTAAGCACAGAACACCGAATAGAACTTGGAATTTCACTAAACAGAACATGGAAAAATGGATGAAATGCTTCTTCTCAGATTAAGTTGTAAAAGAGTTTGGCTTCTGACTTGGATGTGTTCCCTACCGCTCTCATTCATCTTCTCTTAAGGAAAGTCAGCTGCCATATTGTGAGCTACCCGATAAAAAGGCAAGGGAAGGAGAAGGGCCTCCAGCTAACAGCCAGTGAAGGACTTAAGCCTTCAAACAGTCTGACAGGGACTGAATGTTACCAATAAAATAGGTGAGTGAACCTAAAACAGAATCTCCTCTAGTTCAGCCTAAAACATGACCACAGCCCTAGTCAACAGCTTTATTTCAAATTCATAAGAGACCTTGGGCTACAGGCAGCCAGCTAAATTACACCCAGATTCCTGACCCATAAAAACTGTGAGACTGTAAATGCTTGCTGTTTTAAGATGTTATATTCTGGAATAATTGTTATACACCAATACAGATAACTAACATACACTGTCATTAGTAAAAATTTTCAGAGCACTCAATCACAATATATGTATATCTATTTATGAACTATAAACGTCCTACCACAAATTTTTACTTTAAATACTAGCAAAGCTTATTTTTTTTTAATTTTTAGGTAAAAATATAGAAGAAAGTCTTAATAACTCGTTATGAGTATGGACCCTATTGGATTGATTTATCCATCCTTTGATATGCTCACTTTTTATATCTACTTTGGAGAACACTGTTAAAAGTAAAATATAATACCATAATAACACAAACACTCCCCCAAATTATAAACTAGAAATGTATTTGTCTGATCACTACATCTTTTCAGGAGAATCAGATCATTCTCTCTAAAATACTTTATTTGTTCAGAAATGTTAGCTCTTCATTCATGTTAATCAATGGACAGCTGGGCACAGAAGTCACCTTGGAAACCTGTACTTCAGTTTGTAGGAAATTTTCAGACATCTAAAAGAGTTTGTTCCTGTCTTAAGGGTTGCTTGGCCACTGAAGAGGAATGTTAACAGCTGTGGGAGAAGCAATTAGTGTCCATTCTATCCTGATTGACAATTCTGCAAAATGCCTGGTAGCATTTTCTATGGTTTTACAAAATGGCGACCTTCTGTTTCAGAGTGCTTGCGTAGATTGAGTTCTCAGTACAGTTATCATCATGTGGATGCCCCATGTAGCTTCCAATTAGGAAATCACAACTAATTTTACTCTCCAACCAGACTGAAATATAAAAGAGACAGATAAGACCTTCATAGTGAGGTGTGAACAAAGATTTCAGGAAAGCAGAATTCATGAATATCAACTTTTAGGAGCATTCAATTAACAATGCAAAGACAGAGCTCTCTGAAAAATGGGAAGGCTCTGGATGAAAAGAGAGAGATTAGTGAGAACCCTGCAACGAATGCACTGTTTTCATACAATGTCCTAATCAAGAGACGAGAGGCAGTTGTGAAGCAGTGAGCTGGGAACAATGCCTTTCCCAGGAAAGAAGTCACTACGAAACAAGGGCTGCGGTAGTATGATACTGACTCGTATGCATGAAAAAGAATAATTACTTTCAGACATTGTGTTTGACATCTGGTGAGCTTCCTTGGTCCAAAACAAAAAATCCTAGAAACTGGAAAGTAGGGGGTTATTTTTCCCTTGGCTTCAAACTTCCTATTTTTCTCACTGCACATTTCATATTATCCCAATTATCTAAGTTGGTGCATTAATATAGAAATACTATGATCGTCCATTTTCCCTAATTAAGACTATTAGGAAGACATTTTATGCTCTTATTTTTTTAATGAAATTCAATTTAAAGTCACTGTATCAGATCTTATTAGCTGCTACATTATAACATATAATATTTCATTGGGGGCAAAATGCCTAAATCAAAAATTAGATCCAAACTTCAAGAATACAAACTATGATAGTAACATAGTCATGGTCTTTTGCATATATTTCATCCTGTATAAAAAAAAAAAAAAAAAAACCTCCCTTGTGTCAAATTTTAATGAAGCATGTCCCTAGGAAAAACTATGACATGGGGGACTGCAAAGACATTTTATCATTCCATCTTTTTAATAATAGGTTGTCCAAATTAAAATTCCCATGTATTTTAAGGAGGGTGTGAGAGGTGAAGAAAAGTTGACTCACACTAAATAGGCCACTTTTATTCAATAAATTCAGAAAGTATATTTAAGTGTTACCTGCATCGTGAACATGAAACTGACCACAATGAGATGGGGTAACACAATGGAGAAAGACATGACCAGCATCCAGTAGCAGTTGCTCATACTAGTTTTAAACTAGCTCTGTAAAGTCCTTATTCTTTTACCTAAAGAAACATACAATCTAATTGGGATTAACAGACATTCTAACTAATGTTCATATTATCTGTAAGGAAGGAAATATTTTTCAGCTACTTTTGTTAATGAGGAAACTGAGGTTCTGAAAAGTTAATTTGCCCAGCCAAGCTAACCAGAGAGTGTGGAGCAATGAATTCAGCTCTGTCTGTCTGGCTCTGGAAGCCAAGCTATTAACTAGGATTTGCATCTTTCAGCTGCTGCTGTTTCACTCTTCTGAGATCTAAGGAATGCCCTCAGTGATCGTGGCCTCTTTTTTAGTATGCTTTCTCCTCTTATCTATTATCCTCCCTTAGAAGCATTATAGGACAATTCAGCCTCATAAGGGAAATCTTCCAATAATGATTATTAAAACACAATAAGCCCATAGCCCCAAAACTTTAGGGAAAATCCTATTTTCAAGTAAAGCCTTCAGGGCTGCCTGGCAAGCTACTCTGCATGTGCCCAGAGCTCAGAATCACCACCACCAGGACAACTGATACTCAAGGATGTTTTCTTTGTCATTGCTGGACAGGAAGGACCTTTCTCAATGATTTTCTGTCACCACTTGAAAGTGATAAGCTCTATGAACAGTGTAGCGGCCAAATAAAGGATTTCTGGATACCCCACAGTGGGGATTCTCAATTTTGCTGTGCTCTCAGTATATCTCATAGGTATGCTTCGAGGACACATCAACGTTCAAATTTCCACCAGGGTTCAGCATAGTCTACTTCTCTTAGAACAGCTCACACTGGCGGAGCTCAGATGAGACTAAAGATAAAGCATCTTAGGAAGTGAAGAGTGAACAATCAATGTAATATGCATCCTCGGTTTTAAGCTTATGGGGACAGAAAGGTTTTTTTGTTTAAGGTCTAAATTTTTTAAGCCTTAATAAATTTGAATAATAAGAACTGTATAGCGGGGAAATATGCCAGAAAATAAAAATGATGAGTGGGATTCCCTAACAGGAACGGGTTGCTTCATAGGAAGATATCTCATTTCCTGTTTCTCTTTTGTTTTTTACAGCATTAAATACTTAAGCTATAGCATTTTTCCCTGAGACTCTATTACTCTTGAAGAAGGTACAGCCACTCCTGACCAAAAGATTTCATCCAGCCAACCAGAATTGGAACTGAGAAAACCGGCAGCTCTGATTCCCCCCAAAAATGACAGATTGCCAAAAGCCACAGAAAAAGGAACTTCCAGAAACGCCACAGCATTGCTGTCACCCAATTATTCTGTAACGTCTGATTTGTAGCCTATCAACAGACTGCACTGCGTTCTTCCTATGATTCCCATACAATTTTCCATCAGACATCGTAAGGACCGTGTAATACGTTCCTACTTCCGGTTTATGGTAAAGCCACCCCAGGAATTAGTCTTTATGTCAACAGATTTTCTATTATGCCTCCAGAAGACCTCAAAGCCACGAGGAGCAGAATGTTTAAAGTTTACCTATGCAACGCCAGTGATGTGTCCCGTTACATGTACCTTCGCTTTACCTTTTTCCTTACCATTTGGAAATGAAGAAAATGATTTTTACTTTTTGAAGTCAAGATCGTTCAACCATTCAATTTTGTCAGGGTAAAAAATCTTTATTCTAGCCTTGCAAATCCTTTCTCAGGGGTCTTCAATTCCTTCTTAGTCTGCCCAGAACTGTGCTTTTATCCAATTCATAGGCAGTCCGTAAGAGTGATCACTTCTCTCCAACCCTTACGCACTGAAGGCTAATTGTAAACATAAACCCTTTCAGGGGCTCGATGCCGTTGTAGTTTGAAATGTGCATGTGTTGGATTTCATCAAGAAAAAAGAAGGGAGGTTAGGCCCCCCGTCACGTGCTCCTTAGCACTCTGCTTCTCCTCTACCGTCCTCATCACACTTCTAATTACTTGTTCAATGTCACTATCTAATTACTTGTTCCCCACATGTTCTCAATTAAGACTTTTAGAGGCCCTAAGCTCTGACAGGATAATGGTGTCTCTTCCAACACCATATGGATTTTGAAATTAAGAAGAAAATCAAAACTTTTAAGTAAGTTTAAGATGTCCAGCAAGATTTTATTTCTCATGATGACTGCTCCAATGTTTTACTCCAAGTATCATATACCAAGCTTAATTTTTAAATAGGAAAGGGAGGGCACATCTCTGGCAGGTGCCTGAGCGGGTCGGTCTTTCTTTGGGGAATCCGGCACCATTTCTACACAAATTGTAAGCTTCATGAGGACCAAAGCTGTGTGTGCCTTGATCAAAATGTAGTCATACCACACCTGAGCTAAAATAGGTTCTTAATACATGTCTCAGGAAAGGTTAAGAGGAGGACTAAGTGAACAAGTGGGTGAGCGAATAAGTGAGTAGATGGAGAGTTAGGAAGAGAATGAGATGGGGAAGAAAATGAAAGGGAGAAAAGGAGGGAAGGAAAACAGGGAGGTCGGGAGGAGGAAGAGAATGAAAGGAGACAGAAGGGCAGGAGGAAGTAAAACCCGTTGGTTATTATCTTAATTTTGCTATAATTTAGGAGAAAGATGTACCAGGACTAGATACTGTAGTCCATTTCGAGAGCTCAAAGAATTATCTGTTTTGTTATAGGTTAATTCCAGAATAAATGTTGCCTTCCTCCTTTTATAGAATTATAAACTGTGTATTTACTTCCACGACATAATTTTCAAATATGTGACAGTCTGTTGCTCACGTTGTCTTTGTCATAGAATTAGAGAAATGTAGCGTAAACTTTAAATCCGCAGCTGTCACCCAATCCGTGAGGAGGGGCTGCCATGCAGTCAGCCCTGTGATACATGGAGTCAGCTATTCAGCTGCTAAAGTCCTTTGGACTTTCGACTTCTGTCACCCTGGAAGAGGAACAGCATTTGTGCTGACAGCTTTTCCTTTTTCCCAGTTCACTCCCTCCTAATGAAGTGATTCCAAACAGAGGTGTGCGTTTAAATAAATTTTACAAGCCATATCAAACAGAAATATTAACAATACTCCTTGCCAAAAAAAAAAAAAAAAATCCCACGCAAATTACAGGGAACTTACAGACACAAAATATTTAGCCAAAATAGGGCTTTTAGATTACATAAATCTTATAAGGTGTCAACACACAGCAATAATATGCAGAGATTTCTGTTCTCCCTTTTTCTTGATAAGAACAAAAGTATGCTTTGGCATAGCATTCAAGTTTGTCAAATAAGTACCCAAGAATGGATGTATTGTCCAATCTAAAGTTTAGTAGAGAAGGCCCATATGTTGTTTAAAAACAGCTCCTGTATCTTTAGGTCTCCAACTCCGAATGTGACAAGGATATTATTATCCAATAGAGTTATAAAGCCTTTTATAGAGATATTTCCCCCCTTAGCCCAGTTATTTTAATTTGTGCACAGATTTTAGCACAGGCAATTTCCCCCTGCAAGGGCCTTTCACTAATAGAATTATACTATCTTAGCACAAAATGGCCTTTGGTTCTTAGTCCACTGGGCTCAAAAGATTACTTCCTTGTGGTCGAGAGTTTTCCACACCACCCAGGAGCCCACCATTATCGGCACTGAACACCCCAATCCTCTACATCCTTCAAGAGGCTACACAGCTGGGCCCAGCATGAAAATGACAAGCATTAGGAAACTCCAAGAGTTTATTTTCCTCTAGCTGGGCATCTTGGCTTCTGGACTCCCGTCAACGCCATCACAATGCATGCCTTTCAATAAAAAGTGATCCTAACAGGATTAAATGTAATTTAGTCAATAAAGAGAAGTTTGCCATCGGGCGGAATTATAATAGACAGTGTGATCAGAAGGAAGAGAATCTGGAAGGTGTTCAGAGCCCATTCTACTGTAAAATGAAACACAGAAAAGAGAAAAAAAAATTACTCTCAGTCAAACCCTTTCACTAATTCCATATTGCACATGAATCAATTCGCAGTCTATTAAAGTGCTAAGAGCCATGTATTGTCATTTATGGGGAGGAAAAAGAGAGAGTAGAAAACAAGTGTGATTTCTACACCAGTCTTCTCTGTGGCTATGCAAATAAAATGTTTTCGGTTCTGCCTGACATGTGAACTGAACCCACAAAAGGGTCACGGGGCCCAACAAAGAATCATATTTGAAGCAGTGAAAAGTGTTAATTACTCAGTAGTGTCTGACTCTCTGTGACCCCATGGATTGTAGCCCACCAGGCTCTTCCATCTATGGAATTCTCCAGGTCAGGCTATTGGAGTGGGTAGCTGTTCCCTTCTCCAGGACCCAGGGACCGAACCCAGGTCTCCCATGTTGCAGGCGGATTCTTTACCAGCTGAGCCACCTGGGAAGTTCAGTTCAGTCGCTCAGTCGTGTCCGACTCTTTGCGACTCCATGAACCGCAGCACACCAGGCCTCCCTGTCCATCACCAGCTCCCAGAGTCCACCCAAACGCATGTCCATCGAGTCTATGATGCCATCCAACCATCTCATCCTCTGTCATTCCCCTTCTCCTCCTGCCCTCAATCTTTCCCAGCATCAGGGTCTTTTCAAATGAGTCAACTCTTCACATCAGTACTGGAGTTGGCCAAAGTACTGGAGTTTCAGCTTCAACATCAGTCCTTCCGATGAACACCCAGGACTAATCTCCCTTAGGATGGACTGGTTGGATCTCCTTGCAGTCCAAGGGACTCTCAAGAGTCTTCTCCAACACCACAGTTCAAATGCATCAATTCTTCTGCACTCAGCTTTCTTTATAGGCCAACTCTCACATTTATACATGACCACTGGAAAAACCACAGCCTTGACTAGACGGACCTTTGTTGGCAAAGTAATGTCTTTGCTTTTTAAAATGCTGTCTAGATTGGTCATAACTTTCCTTCTAAGGAGTAAGCGTCTTTTAATTTCATTGTCGTAATCACCATCTGCAGTGATTCTGGAAAGCAGGGTGGTTCCCAAATCTTTACTCAGCAGGCAGCAGTTTAGAAAGGCAAGTCACTGTCTGGAAGGCAGCCCTCCATCCCCTGGGCAGGGTGGATCTAGAAAAGTAATGGAGGAATGAAGCACTGAATTGGAACTCTAGTCCAGAGAAGAATAACCCTCCATGGCCAAAAGGATGAGCTGCTGCTTTCTTAAATCTGCTAATCAATGCCCTTCACCAAATCACTGTTTTAGTACCAATGAAAGGGATAAGGAAGCAAAGTGAGCATGTAGCAAGAGGTGACTGCCTGGAATGAATTCCCTAATTTTTGAGTCTTTTCACTAATATTAATAGAAAAAACAGTACTAGCTACCCTTTTTAGGACACTGTAATTATCACTGAGGGGAGAGTGTTCTAAGTTATGTTAACTGTACCATCTCATCTAAATGTTCACTATGAGGATTTCCCTGGCAGCCCAGAGGTTAAGACTGAGCACTTGCAATACGAGGGATACAAGTTCAATCCCTGGTCAGGGAATTAAAATCCCCATACCATGCAGGGTGGCAAAATAAAATAAGTAAATAAATTCTCACTATAGTCCTATAAAGTAGGACTTTTTTGTGTTGTTTTATGGTGGGTTTTTTGTGCTTGGGATCTTGGTTCCTACACCAGACATAGAAAGAGTGCCCCCTGCAGTAGACTCTTGGAGTCCTAACCACTGGACTGCCAGGGAATTCCCAATACATAGTTTTATTTTAATTCTTAAATACAGATGAGGGGAAGAAAAATCAGAGGTCAAATATTTAATACACAGTTATAAGTTGCTTAGTTACACCAGATATCACACTACATACTAGAAATATTAAGACCTCAAAGTTGATTGCCATTGAGAAGGGCAAACAAAAAACATTATTGTGACAGAGATAATAAATTGGTCCCAATCTGCCCATCTGCTCTCCTAAGGAGAACTGGCCTAGACCCTGCCTCGTACTCCAGCAAAATGTATGCTTTTCACTTTCATATTTTTAATATATTATTTTTACATTACATTATTTTTCCTTGCCTATGGAGTCATATCTGACCACCCTACCTAGCAGAGAACTCTCTCCCCTCTTTGGCGGTGGTGTTCAGTTGCTCAGTCATGTCCAACTCTTTGTGACCCCATGGACTGCAGCATGCCAGGCTTCCCTGCCCTTCACTATATCCCAGAGTTTGTTCAAACTCATGCCCATTGAGTCGATGATGCCATCCAATCATCTCATCCTCTGTCACCCCCTTCTCCTCCTGCCCTCAATCATGCCTAGCATCAGGGTCTTTTCCAATGAGTCAGCTGTTTGCATCAGATGGCTAAAGTACTGGAGCTTCAGCTTAAGCATCAGTCCTTCCAACGAATACTCAGGGTTGATTTCCTCCCTCTCTTAGCATCTGGAAAATTCACCCAGCATCATTTATCATCATTTCATGTCTTCTAGTTCCCAAACCAGACCATGAGTTGTCTGAGTCTTGCATCTCTACAATGCATTGCACAGTTTAGTTTGATAAATATGTACTGATCAGGCTGCTGGAAACCACTTCAAATTACTATAAAAGTAATGGCAACTTTCAGTTGCCAGTCCAATGTGTAAGGAGCTTGTAAGTCATGGCTCCTGTCCTAAGGACAAGAAGAAAGCCAAACAAACTGAAAACGAGCAATCCTTCATAGATCTTTCAGAGAATTGAGGTCACAGGAGAAAAATGCTGTCACAAAAATTGGAGAGACAGTGAATCGCAAGTTTCCAGAGCAAAAACCTTTGCAGGAACCAGAGGAAGTAAACATAATGGCTCACACTCATCATGTCCAACATCTCTGAACATGTGACATCTATCAGCTTGTTTAACCTTCACAACAGCCTTATGAGGAGCCCAT